GCGAACGGGCAATGCGAACGGGCAATGCGAACGGGAATGAGCCCCCTCACCGTGGAAGGCACGCAGGAGGCAGGCGCGGCCGACGGAGCGGCGGCGGAGCCGGGGGCGGTGGACGCGGCGGCGCAGCGCAGCAGGCGAGCAGCTCTCCTCGAGGGTGCGCCGGCGCCAGTTGCAGCTGCAACGCAAATGGAGTTCATTTATTGTACTTATTTTCGTTAAAAATATTAAAAATGGTGAAAAAAACTAGCAAAAGCAGTATTATTTGCTTACGCTTCTCAAGCTCAACAATCCTAGCCCATCGTTTTACTACACATTGCGTTTAAATGTTTACAAAGTCCTTTCACAGACTTCATGTAAATCAGATATAATTCATATCAATGTTCCCCATACAAAAATCATATGTGGTAACATGACGCGTGTCCTCTATGACTGAAACCTTTGCATTGTTTTTATTACACTACTACATTGCAGCATATTGTCTTCGGCAAACAAATGTTATACACACGTAGTTTAATGTTTTCTAATGCTTGTAGATTACAATTATATATTGAAATATTCTGACATGTTTGACTTGGGTACCAGTTCATTTTGAAATATAATAAAATCTTATGGTGTAATAGGAAGCATGAGTGGTTCCATGCGCTTTCAACTACAAAGCATAGAATGAACGAACTGAATGTCCCTTTCGTGATCACTGCGTTAAACATTTTATTTATTCTCTCAACATGTAGAAGACGAAAAAAATCCACTTAAAATATGTGGAACATCACTTGGAAAAGTGGTAACTCAAAAAGGCCTACTCTTCAGTGCAGCTCAAGTACTGGAAGGATAATGTAATTAGTGCCACGCTAGTCTATTACATTGATGTTCGATGTTTTCTATGTAACCAACCTTTTTCAACTATTTAGACTAATTCCAAATTGAAAATTGATTTTTTTCTGCCCAATGGGAGCATTAAATGAAATTTGCTTATATTTTAGTGATGCCTCTTGTCTATAACCTAAGATACATTACTGTCCTCCTATTGGGCAACCGAATTTGTCATAGTATTGAGAAGGCCCCCGTGCCCTCTTACCAGAGGCAGGAGGCGAGCAGGACGACGCAGGCGACGGCGAAGCAGCCGCCCAGGACGGCGGCGAACAGCTGCAGGGCGGCGGGCGGCGGCGCGAGGTGCAGCACGGCGGAGGCCGCGGCGGAGGCGGAGGCGGCGGCGGCGCCCGGCGCGTGGGCCACCACGCCCACC